GTGTGGGTGTGGGTGTGGGTGGGTGAGGTTCAGGGCTCAGGGTTCGAAGGTTGAAGCTCGGAGTCTGTGATCCCGGGACCTACGCTCTCGCTTTGGAAACTCGAGCCTGACAACCGGCACCATTGCGATTGCATCGTAAACCCTTGACCTGAGTCAAACGCTACAGGAGGCAACGGTGTGAGCCAGCGCTGCAAGAAGCCTTCAATGCTTGAAGCCGAGCGAAAAAAAAACCCACACCCGACAGGCTTCGGGGAGATAAAGCGGTCCGCTTCAGGGTTCGGGATCGAGGCTTTTCTCCTCCAGCCAACAAACCTGAAACTGGAGGTTGCCGTCGTCCCAGACATGAGTCTTTGATGCAAGTGGCAATCTTGCCTTCATGCCCGGCTCTGCAGAGCGGCCTGAATCGTCCTGACTCCCACCCATGGCATGGGGGCCTGGAGTCCAGGGAGACAAGAAGCCCTGTAAATCGCTACATGCTTATGTTCACCTTCCCTTGTGGTGAAAGTGATTCTGCTCCCCAGAAACAGGCGCTTCCTATCCGAAGCCGAGGATCAGCTTGAACTCTGCTGTGGATGTTTGCGAAAAGGGTGGGCAGTGGCAGGCCCCTCGTCAAAGCGAGGCATTCAGATGGGATTGCGGGGCTCTCTTGGTGATATTTCGGTCGCAGGTGCTTGCGGACGACGCCTGACAAATCTGAAGCCGCACGTTTGGGGTGCCAAGGAGGGATATTTACTTTTGATGGCTCTGACAATAGTACTACAATAAAGCTCCACTACTATTGTTTTGAGTGTGACTTTTGATCTTACAAGCAGTCGCTTGTTCTTGATTGATTCTTCAGCCGCTCCACTGGCTAGACAACCTGAGCATCTGTGCAAAAGCGCCACAACTCGTCAACTGTACACCAGCATTTTTTCCCGATAATATGCTATCGCAATCTAGGGTATTCACGCAAATTGCATAATAATCACATTGCATAGTAGTCATTGCTTCATGTTGAGTACAGCTGTGTGCTCCATGCTCGTTTGTTGTCAACATGCACCAGGACATCCTGCTGAGCAGAAATGGCTGTCAAAGATGTTTCCACGTGGGCCCTGAAGAACCGTCCATCGTCCGCAAAATCTGAACCGGTCTCATGCTCGTTAAACAAGCAGTCTGACAGGGTCGTCATGCTAAGAGTGAGACTTGTTTAGCTTCGCACACACCTGCTTCAACTTCCATAGGCACTGGCAATGCGCTAGACCCTTGCTGGTTGATCCCCTCCTGTAATCTGAGGATTTAGCTACTGCTTGCCTTAGAGACCTTAAAAGAGCAGAGAGGCTCTACAGTAGAATCCCGACAAGATTCTCTAGACAGCCTTACACAACCTACGAAAGCCCCACGCCGAGATGGCCTTGCTCCTCTTGTGACTCGGCTTCCGAAAGCCAGGGAAGGAAGAAAGGTTGGAACAGAGGCTTTATAGGCGCACGTAGTTCCCTGAAGTCGATGGGAGGAGCTGCTCAAGCACAACTTTCGAGTCCCTCGTGCCCTTGAAGCCCGAAATGTTCAAGAAAAATCCCAAATGCAAACGAGAACCACTGACGAAGGAGCAAGACTCGACCTCTGTTTGTCCACGTACTTGCGAGTTATCCTGCCCAGCATTTCCAAGTCCATTCGCGTCTGTGAACATGATGACGATGATGATGATGATGATGACAATGGCGATGGTGACAAAGATCACGACGATGATGCTGCTGCTGATGGTGATGTTGATTGTGATGGCGATGGCGATGGCGGGTGATGGTGGCGATGATGACGGTGAGAGTGATGACAACGATCACAACGACGATGCTGCCGCTGCTGATGGTGATGGCGATGTTGATGGTGATTGTGATGGCGATGGTGAGGGTGAGGGTGACGTTGATGTTTGTGGTGCTGACGATCATGATTGTGTCATGATGATTACGATGGTGATGATGAAGAAGAAGATGAAGAAGCCGACGACGATGTTAACTTGAGGTGCTACTACCTCGTGCCACGGCTGCTATCATTATTCATACTATGGAGACCAAGGGCCGTTGCTGAGCAACGCATGCTGCGCCTGGATGCCGTGGGTGCCAATTCAGCGCTGAGCTCTTGCGAGAAGCCGCTGGGTTGATTGGTGTTTGAGGACCGTTCGGCTTCGCTTCTTTTGGTTGTTAAGCAGGTATGCAGCTTGCAATCGCCAATCGCCCCATAAATCGATGCTAAGAATAGAGTCTTACAAGCAGCTGCCTGACCGGCGGCTGAATTTCCTTTACGAAAGTCGAGTTGCGATGTAGCATGTTATCAGAACTCTTCCTTGTTTAGAAGCACAGTTGGTTGTTTCCTTATGTGTCGGCGAGCTATTGCATTGCGCCAAGCGAGGTGTGGGCAGCTCGGCTCCTCGCTGCGCCTGCTGGCCAGGCCGGTCTCTTTGATCCAGGCTTCCTCAGATCAAACCCCGACAGGACTCACGTTAGGCCCTGGGCCCGGAGCAAAGAAGCCGATAATGTGTGCCAGGATGGTGCACCTGCGCTTGAGTAACGAGATAAGCCGCGCCCTTGGTTTCTGAAGGTTTCGGCGTCAGATGTAGGTGAAAGGGTTGTCGGCCAAGCCTCCAGATCGGGAGTCAAGGTGTAGTGTAGGGTTGCCTTCTGTTTCTGACAAAGAGTCAAAGAGTTCCAGCTTGAGGCTACACTTGCGCCATCGGCTCCTGTGAGAAGTCTGGTGACTGGCAGCTGGCCCTCCATCTTCTGGAGGATTGCTACGAGCCCCTGGCGGTTTGGGGTTTCAGGGCCTGGGATGTACATGGAAGCAGTCATCATCAGGGTCTGCGCTCGGCATTTGAAGATCCGGGTCGTGCCTTCACTGTTGCTGCAACTCTTGCTGCCTTTGCGACATCAAGTACAGTACGCAATCTTGTGACTGCGTGACACGAAGAGAAGCTCCCCCCGCCTGTGGAGCAGTTGGAGCATCCCATGGCCTTGCCTGCCATCCACCCGGCCGTCTTCCCCGGGCTCTTCATCAGTGATGCGGAGGGTGCCGCCCAATACGCCGAGCTACGCTCGAAAGGCATCACGCACGTGGCCGTGGTAGCACGAAGTTGCAAGTCCCAGTTCCCTGGAGCCTTCCGATACCTCACCCTGGATTTGTTGGATGATGGAACAGACAATCTACTTCCCCACCTGAACCGTTGCTTCGCCTTCCTAGACGAAGCCTTCCAGGCTCATGGCCGGGTGCTGGTCCACTGCTTCGCCGGCGCAAGCCGCTCTGCTTCCATCGTCACCGCTTATTTGATGCGTACCTGGCACTTGCCTTTCAGCCTAGCGCTGCAGATCTTCAAGGCAACGTATCCGAATGCCTCGCCGGCAGAGAACTTCTGTGAGCAGCTCCGGGTCTTTGAGGCAGCTGGCTTCAGCCTTGGTGAGGATGGGCCAGTGCCGGAGGCCGATCAGAAAACTAGAGGAGCGGTGCCAAAGGAATTTTGGCGCACTGCTCTGATAGATTTGTATACACGGGACGGGATGAGCCATGCACGTGCGGTGGAGAATGCCACCGAGTGCCCATTTACGAAGACTCTTAGCCCGGAGCTCGCCCTGGCTCTGCAGCAGGAGCTTGTCCTTAGCTTGGCCGTCCGGCTGCCGGATGCCGCAAGGCCATCGTCCGTGTGCTGCTGCACAAAATGCCAGAAGCCTTTGTTTTCCAGCGCCCACGTGCTACATGAGTGTGCCAGCGGACACTATGTAGAACCGATGCAGTGGATGAACACCTCTGCTTCGGAGGGCAAGCTAAACTGCGAGTGTGGTGCCAAGTTGGGGAGCTTCTCATGGACTGGGCAATCCTGTGGCTGCGGCGAGTGGAGGGCACCGGTGTTTTGCATTCAGAATAAGAAAGTGGAGTGGAGAAAGCTGGGCTCCAGAGAGGTCCCGCTACCTCAATTCCATTGTGACGACGGTTAAATGACTACAAGTGGCCTGAAAATCTGGTCCTGTGGTGCCTGAAATAACATGGGCTAGTGTACAGTGTGCAGGCGCGGCTCATGTTCAGACACGGTCGAGATTCAATCGAACCGTTTCTTGTACAGGTTCGCTTTGTGAGAAGACTGACTTGCTTTTAGCGAAGTCTCTGGGGTTTGGTAAGGATTTCACGCTCTTGCAGTCTTAGCCGTCAAGCGCAATGCCCCAAGTCAGGCTCGGAACCACCGTACGTATGTATGTATGTATGTATGTATGTATGTATGTATGTATGTATGTATGTACATAATTATTTATATATATATATATATTACATATATTACATATATATATATATATGAGAGAGATAAGCCTATGAAATCAGCAGACAGCCCTACCAAAGAAGCCAAAGTCACTCCATCTAGATCGAGGCTTTCTCTAGCATGAGTTGGCTGCTCTTCGGGTTGAAGCTCATGCTGTAGAGGGCATTGGCAACCTATGAAGCACCAGGAGATGCAAGAAGTGAGTTTGCCTCCAGCCTCTTGGCAAGAGCTTCAGACCTGGGTTTCATGCTTCGGGGCATGTACAACCCCATTTCACTGCATCAGGGATCAATGTGCGCGGCAATCGTCGACAATACGGTCGCAGACCCATCATGACACACTGGGAGTTCAGCCACCCGGTAGCTTCGCCTGATCGACGGATCTGGGATATCAGCCATCTCAGGCCTCCAGTAGCTAACACGGACTACTTGTCGGCTTCGGGGCCTGGGGAGGGCAAGGGGCTGCTTGGTTCTTGCAGCTGCGACATGAAAGGGTTCTCGGTCCTATCGAGGCTTCCCTGTCTAAATTTGTTAATGTCTTAGGTCGTGCGCCAGAGTCATGTCTGCCGTCCTATCTCTTTCTCATCTTTCCGCTCGACCTCAGAAAATCAGACAAGCAAAACACTGTAGATCACTGGAGTCGACATGCCTTTACTCGAGACGACTTCGAAGGCTGGGCCCCACCACTCTCGCCCTCGAGCCTGGATCCTTTGCACCCCGAAAACAGAAATCCTGTACTGCCCCATCAGCGGAACCCGCACAACCCTGGTAGGTGACCCCGCATAGCAAACCTGCGTCAAATCCTCGCAGAAAGTCTGTGTTTTCCTCCGAGGGCGAAATCGCTTTCCGCGCAGAGCCTTCCCCTGCAGAGGGTGTAGGATACAGGTCTCTGGTGAAAGCTTTTTCCGGAGTGGTTAGACTTGAGGTTCGGGGTTCGAAGAGTGCTGTCGTGGCGGGCATTCTGATCCGAGGTGTTCTGAGCATAGTATTGTGTCTTCGAACCCCGCTTCGCTTCTGTCAGTCGTCTGTTGGGTATACGGTATAGGTCTTGCCGCAGGGATATGCTTAGTTGACGCTTTTGGTTCATCCCAGGGTCTTTCACCAAGCAAGTAGAGTGCAACAGCCCAGAGCAGCCATCTCCGATGTTTGCGAAGCCCACAGCTGATCACAGCGTTTGATTGTGCTTCCCAGTCACCAGTAAGCAGTCCTGAACTGACTAAATGTTACAGGGTAGTCTTCAAGCACACATGTCCAGGTTGGCGGTGTGTCATACATCATCCCGGCTTCAGACCAATCCGAGGTCCCAGACTTTGAAAACTGAAAAGCCTTCAACTCAAGGCACTGAACTCAAAACTGAATACAAGAGGACCTTCGTTCCTAAGGTGATCAGTGCCTGCCCCGGTCCGCAGTGGCCACTGGCAGTCAACATGCTGGTGTCCGGACTGCATTCGCGAGCACATCGAACGCTTTACATGCCAGGAGCTTGCCATGGGTACAGTTTCGGTCTTGCGACATGCTAATATTGGTTTAGTCTGGATCTGTCCCAATTGCGTCGAGGACTGCACCTCATTTCCAAATACCAGCCCAGATAGGATTGCAAGTCGCGACATTCGTCACAATGCCAAACGTGATCCTGTACTGCTGAGATCCAGGAGAAGGGGCGGGATGCTATAAAGGTTCTGACCTGCACGGGATGGTGTCTTTGCGGCTGGATGCTAGCAGCCACAGGGTTTCACGGCCACTGATGTAGGCAGTTCTTGCCATTCGCAGAATCAGCGCAACAGCCCAGTTGTTTCACCTGCATGTCAGGGCTACATGGAGAGCGCCAACGTTTTTCCGCACGAGATCAGCTGCTCGGCTTTTGAAATCTGTGCTGTGCTCGTGCACACAAGAGCGATCGCCACATTCAGGAGAAGCCGGTGCCAAATTTGTTGGACTGATTCTTTGGATTCTTAAAGGTCGTTCAGGTTCATAATATGATTGAGAGTCAAGCTCTCACATGACCCGGGAAGCTGCAGAACTATCCTAAACAAAGCTTTCCAAACCTGTACGAGGCTTCAATGCGGCCCTCGCGGCAGCGGCGCGAGGTGCAGCTCCAGCGCCGGTGGCAGCGGCACTTCTCCGGCGAATGCGGGCCGCCGAGGCTTGCCACGAGTCCTGCCATCAGCTTGTAAAGATCGAATTCCTTCAGGTGTGCATGGATGTAAGTATGATGCATACGTCCCGTCAAATACACTTCCTTTTTTATGAAAGTAGATTACATCACGCTGCATTAGGGTATGCCTATGGTCCATTGTCTCGACTTGTCCTGTTTCCGTCGCCCTACCCCAACCTTTTACCTTCACCCTTCACATTTTCCTTTAACATTTAACGCTTACCTTGACCTTATCCACCCACCTTGCTTTGCAGTGTATTTCGATGTACAATACATACCAACATACAGACATATAAACAATTGTCCCTGTACCCAGGACGGCATAAGCAGCTATTTGGTAGCCGCATATCATGACAAGGGCACCAGCATGCAGCTTGTAAGTCTATTCCCCCCATCGCCTGAGAATTATCAGCGAAGACCAGTAGACAGCAACACAATCACCCGTCCATAGAACTGCATGCTTGCGGGCATTTCCTCTTCTACAGTCCTGTAGAAGTGCAACAAGGTTTAAAGCTACAGGAACTCAGCAAGCCGGAACTCCGGCATGAAGCGCCCATGACAAAGAAAGCATTGGGTCAGAGCGTCTTCGCTTCGAGTTTGCGGGCTCAGCTTCATACGGCACCGTTCTCCAGTCTGGGTTTGAAACGTTTGTTCATCTGGGACTTTCCGAAAATAGGGGGTACCTTATTTTGGGGTCCTTATAATAAGGATCCTATTATTTAGGGTACTATATCAGGGTCCCCTATTTTCGGAAACCCCCATCTCTCCAAACAGTGCCAGGACCGCCAGTTTTTTGTAATGCGCCTGCAGCTTTCGTCCACAAGATTCAGACCTCGCTCAGCTCAACATTCTCAAATCTTATGCACCTCACAACCCCCTGTCTGAAAAGGTGCTGCCGGATGCTGGCAGCTACAAAGCAGCAGCTGCCATTTTCGAAATGAGCTGCAGACTCAGCTTGCCCATGAGCCTTTCGAGAAACTACACATGATACTGAGAATGACGCTGATAATCGTAGTGTTATTCCGTGCCACAAAGTTCAAGGATGGCCGTGCTCGGTTGTTCCACGTCAAGTCTCCAGAGGATTCAGTTTCAGAGGTTTGTGAGTCCTTGAGTCGTGATATATCTGCGACTTTGTGGTTCAGGTCTTCGGCTTGGAAGGGGTAGGCTAGCTGATTGCATTGTGCCGCCTATGCGGCCTGCAGGGTCTGAGTTTGGTGGTCCTCAGATCTGGGGCAACGCCTCACAGGTAAGGGGCCGGCGGACGGTAGGAAGGCTGTCCGAGAATCCGCGAAAACAGACGGTTCAAGACCCACGTGAGCACCCAAGGCTCGAAATGCCTCTGAACCGTACACTGTACTACAGGCCTAGAGGTAGTTCACGAAGCCTATATCCGAAGCTTTTCGAGAATTGGGCGATCCGAGTTGTGAGAGTTTCGGTGCAAGTGCATTCAGACAGCAACGCTGCGGCAGATTCTCAGCTACCTTTACCTTCACAGCTTCGAAGTGCAGGGTATTCTTGGAGTCTTAGAGAACACAGAGAGGAGGGTACACCAGAAAGCTGCAGGCCGCAGCCTAAACCCGAAGAGGCTCCAAATCCTTCACCCCTCAGCCAGGAGACAAGGCGCAGCCAGCGCTGCGTGTCTATCAAGAAATGAGCGGCCGCTCGGCAAATGCCCCGTCTAAGCGAGCAGACGATGGACCCACAAGTCTCAGAATATATACATACATATATACATATGTATGTATGTATGTATGTATGTATGTATGTATGTATGTATGTATGTATGTGTATATATATATATATAGAGAGAGAGAGAGAGACTACACCTTTGCATACCCTAGGAAACGCAATGCCTTCCTCGTTTTCTTTATGTAGGACTCGGCTTCAGGTTGCGTCGGCTCGCTGCTGTCTGCCGTCTTTGCCGACGCTGCCTAGGAGGAAAAAGACCTCTTGCGCGGTTTCGTTTGGGCTTGGGGGAGCTTTACGCGCGCCGAGATCGTCGACCATACCAACACCAAGCCCTGAAGATCTTCCGAAAAAAGGGGTGAGTGTCTGCTGAAGGGGAGTGTCCCCGAATCCTTAAACCCTAAACCCTATAAACCCTAAACGCTCAACAGCGTCTGTTTCTCCCCGCCTTTGGGCGCCCAGGCCCCGACCGTGGGGCCGCTGCCCGGGGCGATGCCAGGTAGTCCGAGCAGCGGAGAGGAGGACGGCTGAGGGCTCATTTTGCTTGGGTTTTCTTTCGGGATGAGGGCCCACAGGCCGACGCTTCACTGTTGAGAAGCTCCCGTGGGCGGAAGCACATAAGCAAACCTAATGTAGGGGCCTTAGAAATTGCCTATACTATGTTGGGGGTTCCTTATTGGAATGATAGTATACTGGGCCCCAAAACCCTATTCTAAATATTGGGGCTCCTAAACTTCAGCTTTGCCTGCTCGGTTTCCTCACCCTTGATTTCCGAAGAAACGCAACAGTGGGCTTACAAAACCTGCAATCCCCCTTAAACACCTCGCAGACGACCTCTATGGAGCCAAAATTAAAAGAAGCCTTGCAAGCCAAAGCGAGATCAGGAGTGCATGATGGATGGCATCCTCGAGGTGGCTGCCCAAGTTTCCATCCCATGGTCTGCGTTAGATGCAGGTCGAAGGCGCTTGGGTGTTTACGTCATTCAGGGCTTCGCTGTGGCCTAACAGCAGCCACGGCCCGTCCAAGAGTCAGAGTGTTTTGCACGTTGCATGTTGAGGGCGTTTCCTCACGCAGACCAACGATGACCAACGCCTATGGTTGAAGTTCGTAGTCTCGCGCCATGTACCAGAACGCCGCCTATGGAACCAGTGTGAAGTATTCCGCCTAAGCCAGGTCATCCCTGAAATTTTGCGGTGGCAAACCCCAACTCTGGGCAACCAGCCGGTATATTTCCTCTGCAGATCCTCGACCAAGCGAACACAGAGATCACAAACCTGAAGTCTCCTGGCTCTCCGACTTCCCACACAGTATACGCACTTACTATTCTGATGATGAAGTCGTAGTAGCAGCAGCAGTACTACTACTAAGGCAGGAGTGGTAGCAGACATAGCTTGTGCAGGAGCAGCCTTCATGACGAAGCCTTACTCTTGAGACTTTGCCAACACTTTAAATGCTTCCCTCTTGGAAGTTCAAAAGTTCAAAACTCAAGGCCTCATCTCCAAGAATCCTGTGCCTGAGGATGCCGGGCTCGTCTTCCACGGGGACGGCATCGTCCACGAGGCTGGTCTCTCTGAAGCTCCCCTCCTTCAGTTTCTGGGTTAGGGTTTAGGGTTTTGGGTTTTGGGTTTAGGGTCGGTTTCTGGTTTCAGTGTTACTTAGGGTTTGTGGGTTTGGGTTTGCCAGCCCCTGAACCCAAAGCAACAAACCGGCGGCTACTTTCAGCCCGAAGAAACCTCCTAAACCACCTCCCCACCTGCGAAGAAAACCATAAACCACAAAACCCCAAACCCTTCAACCTTTGAACTCAAACCCCATACTGTAAACTCTAAACAAACGCAATCCCAAATCCCAAAACCGTACGTAGACCCTAAAAGCCCTTACGTTCCCTAAATGACCCTAGGTTCCCTTACAGAAAAGCGGGACGAAGCCCTCAACCCTAAACCCCCTTCAAAGGATCCCGAGCGGGAGCTCGACGACTCTTGGCTCGAGGAGGTGCAGACACCGACGGGGCTCGGGAAGTGTAGTTTAGGGATGTTGAGGGTTTAGGGTTACTATAAGTTGGTAAGGGTTTAGGGTTCCCTTAATGGTTTCTGGGTTTCTAGGGATGTTTAGGGTTTAGGGGTACTATAAGGCCCAGTGCCACGAAACGCACCACCCAAGCAAGCTGGCTTAGCTCGAGGCTTGGGATCAAGGCGACAGTAAGCTTTAAGTAGTGTGCATGCGTCCGGACAACATGGATGGACAACATCCCCACTGCCACCACCACAATTACCGTCATTATCACCATCACCCATATCAAGAAGAACGGGCAGGGCTGCGCATGCAATCCCATGGATACCTCGTATTCTTTGGTCCGAGTGTGCTAGGAAGGAGACACAGTCACTCAGCCTAACAGAATACCCATGGAGCGCTTCGTGGAAGACTATTGCATTTTGTTTGGGTAATGCTGTGGATAATTGCTGTACAACAGGACTGATACTAGACCTAGAAGCTAAACCCAAAACGTCCGAACTCAAAACCCTTTTCCCCAACTGCTGGAAACGGAGAGGCACTGACCAAGAACATCAGCAGGAAAGCCCCACACGTCGTGTGTGCACTGCACAGGAGCTGATGGGCTTCGGAGCCCCAGAGCTGGAGGCTGGTTGATATTTTTTGAGGGGGGTTTACGAGGTGTAGGAGTTTGATGATTTAGGGGTTTCGGCAGGTTAACGTTGGAGGATTGAGGGTTCAGGGCTGCAGCGGCTGAAGTTGGGCGTTGAGGGCTGGGCTTGGCACGAAATGGAGGTGCACGCCGTGTTCGGATTTTGGGTGCTATGTTCAGTGTTCTGTTGGTGTGGGGGGGACGTTGGCAGCTGGGAATGTAAGTTTGGGAGTGTTGGTGCTCAGTGCTGGTGTGGCTTGGGGAGCCGTGAAGTTCTCGGGTTGAAGGCAAGGTTCGGCTTCGATCTAATCGCAATCACAGCCTGCTCTGGGCTTCCGCCGATTGCAGTGCCCAAGGGGTAGTTGCAGTTACAAGTAGCGTGGCTGAGCGAACATGCTCCGAGAAGCCAGGGAGCCAGGCTCAAGACGATCACACCTTTAAGCATGATGCCTTTCCATGGCCGGTTGAGAGACGCCCGTCAGAAGCAGCCTCGTCAAGCCGAAAGACAGCCCAAAGGACTGCTCAATTCTGGGCATCCAGTTCCCTCAAACGACTTGACCCTGCGATTGCTGAAGTTGTTGAGACAGCGAGGGCCTCGTCAATCATGCCAGCATAGAGCCGATGCTTGTTGAGCTGTTTGTTGAGTTGAGCATCAGAGATTTGCGGCTGTCCTTCTGCCTGCTTGGGAAGGCCCTGAGCGAGCACCAGACGTTGTTGGGCAGTGCCCTGGCAGACTTTTCACTGCTTTCTTCTTTGGCTTAGCATTGGTTGGGTACACATCTTATCAAATCTTCGGGTGTGTATACGACAAAGGGCCTTGTGGCCGGGGCGATGCAGGGCCAGTGGATGACTTGCGATCGAGAGTCCTCCGGACAAGCTAGACTCGACATACTGATCTGTACTCGAGTTTGTCTGCCGAACAGAGCTAGAGCTGCAAGCGGACTCAGCAACAGTGGTGGTGAAAGTGGCCAAGGCAGTATCGAGTGTCGATAGTGGTTGCGGCGCACGCAGAAATCATCGTAGTCCCAAGGGCCGAAGTCAGCTCCAAAACACAAGTAACAGCAGTCCTCACAAGATGCACGTCCCCACTACCGCAACAACCAAAAAGAAGACTCTGAACAGCCAGACGCAGGGCTCAGGTGCATTGTTGGTTGTAAACAGGCATTTTTCATGTTTCGGGCTCCAGACACCGGTCTGCGGCTTGCAGGATTCTGTTTTGGAAAACCTTGGGCATTGTCGGGCCAGCAAGGCCTGCTGGAGATACCAGATCCAGACGGCGAAGGCCTGCGGCAATTCGTCCTAGTCATGATAATTAGCAAGGCTGCATGGGTAGCAGTAGCAGCTGTTGTTGTCTTCATAATGAACGTAAATCGTATATTGCTTGTAACATGCCGCATCCGTAGTAGTAGTATTCGTCGCATTTCGTCGCCGTCGTCGTAGAAGTCGTCCTGGTCGTTGTCATAGCAGTAGCAGTAGCAGTAGTAGTAGCAGCAGTAGTAGTAATAGTAGTAGTAGTAGTAGTAGTAGCAGGAGGAGGAGGAGGAGCAGTCGAACCAGCATCGGCATCTCCAGTGGCAGCACGATGTGTGGCAGTTGGCCGTGCTGTCGTTGTAGCGAGCGCAAAGGTTCGAAGGATTTAAGGCAATTTGAATGTCAGGGTTGAGGCCGACTCCCGAAGCGTTCGCTAGTGAATGCCTCCAAGAGCAAGGCCGCAAAGCCACACAGTCACATCATTATAGGAATCACCCCGACGGGACGATTGCTTCACAGCTGCTGCATGAACAGATTCTAAAGTCCTGGAGGCTTCCTTCCAGACAAAGTTCGGCTTGGTCAAGACACAGCGTTTCAAGCGGCAAGGGCTGTGGGGACTCTGCGCACCTGCAGGCAGCAACAGCCAGTCTCGACGAGGTCTTAACGGCTTCTCGGTGGAGGCTGGGTGAAGGCTTTGGCTGCAGGGTTGTTTAGGGCAAAGCTGCATGGGGCTTTGGTCTGAGGCTTTCAGAGATTTCTGTCGCTTCTTCTTTGATTCCATCCCTATCCCGCAGGCAACGGGCTTCAAGACCACATACCAAAACTTGTAGATGTGATGGTCCAATGGTTCGTCCCGGAAGCAGCCGATGCCGGTTTTGCATTTCAGGTAAACGCTACTGGATTGAACATTGCGCAGGGTAATTAGCCCTGAACCTGGCAAATCGTGGACTTCTGCAGCTTAGCTTTGGGCTCTTGGCAGCACTGATGAGGACCAAGCCTTGTGATGGGCAGACTCGGGCGGAGATCCTCAACATGTGTTCCAAGCTTGCCTTTGCGCCAGCTTTCACAGGACGCTTCAAACTTCGCAAAACTGCAGGGTGTGATAATCGGATCATCGTAAAGGCCACACACACACACACTGAGCGAGCATGGCCAGCCATGTGGTGATTTCCGGTGCCGCTGTGGCTGCGCCCTGCTTGCAGACCAGGGCGGGCACAGGTGTTGCTATGAGTCACTGCACGTGCAAGCAACCTCGTCTAACTTTGCAAAGTTGTTGAAGCAGTGGTAGAAATTTAGTATCACGTGGGATTTGGGCTGCTGCGGGCAGTGAAGAAACCGTCGTCACATTCGCAATCAC